CGAAGCTCAGCCTGATGTAGAATCCATAAACGCTGCATGGAATTTGGAGACTCTTTTAGCAGTGGCGTCATTACAGAACGAATCTGTTATTGACACCACCAGAGTGCATCGACGGTTAAGCGAAAATGAAATTAAGGAAAAGGAAGCCATCGATAATAGACGAGCCAACTTGCTGTGGAACGAGCAGGCGCAGCAGTATCTGTTCGATGCCAATGAGGCCGAGAGCTGGATGAGCGAGCAGGAGCTCTACATGATGGTGGAAGATCGGGGCAAAGACGAGACTAGCGCCAGGAACTTCATGAAGAAGCACGAAAGTCTGGAAGCGGCGTTGAGCTTATGCGGACACCATCAGAGGACTGGATGAAAATGTGAAGGCCCTGTCGACTGAAGGACATCCTTTGGCCAAGCAGGTCGCTGTTAAACAGTCGCAACTGGACAAGCTGTATGCTGGACTGAAGGATTTGGCGCAAGAACGTCGCGCTAAGCTGGATGAGGCCTTGCAGCTCTTCCTGCTCAACTGAGACGTCGGCGACTTGGAGCAGTGGATAGCTGATCGCGAAGTGGTGGCCTCTTCTCATGAACTGGGCCGAGATGCTGGTTCTATTTCAACTATAATCGGGGCAATCAGGGTTTAGAAGGGGGGGCAGTGTAACGGAAATGGCCTGGGGTACTCACGTTTGGAATGGGGGGATCAAAATTCATGGTATTTCAGTAAATGGGAGCCCCATTTACTGTCAAATATGACACTGACAAGCGGGAAGTTTCGCACCTGTTCTGGAGATTTCGAGAACCATCTGGGTTACCTGAAGGAATCTATATAAGCGGCGACGAGAACCAGACGGGGGAAGTGAAGTGACAGCAACGAGCGGGTGCAGAAGATGTTAAACCCCGCGAGTCGGAAGAGCGAGTTTTCCGCCTGTTATTGTTATTGTTTGTGAAGTTGACGGTCATTTTGAAGTTAGTTTGTTCCTGTGTCGTATTTAAAGTGATACCGAGTTAGTAAAAGTTGGAAGCTGAATAAAGAGTTTGATACTCGGCCATCCACGGTACAATACAATATTTATAAGTCATTTTCTTCAAATCACCAACTAAACTTCACTAAGCACCCTTTAAGGTTGACTTGAAGGAAAAAGTAAACGCCGGAACCACGCGAACTAAATGCAAGCGGATATCAAAGTAGGGTATAGTGACATCAGCCAGAGTGCTGGCGCGTCGTTTTCGCCTGCTAAACAGAAATTCAAATTTAGATTCCTTATAACTTCCTAGTAAGTAAATTAAAATTTAAAAAAATTTGGTGGTACGGTTACTTCACCAAAAATGAACAGAATAGGCAAAAAATCTGCAAAGGCCCTATTGAGTCGGCTTGAGACAATATTAGCAACTTTATTTTTACTTAATTTACTAACTATGTAAGTGCAAAATGTTCACCAGCTGTCCACCTACAGGAATATCATAATCTTGACAGAGCTAGATGCAGCGCTTGACTTAGGTTCGTTTATTTTCAGGAACATATGTTTGTTGCAGTACCAGAAAATAGGAACCAACAGCAGTTAGTAAAGCGACTGCAATTTTTCTGTCAATTTTTAGAAATCCTGCGGCCGAAAATCCATTTTGAAGTACTTGAATTTTATAGGATACGTCCTTGAGTTTTTCGATTATTTCAATATCGTCTTCAAATGATTTGGATGCAGCTAGTAGATTTGCGGAAAGATTTTGTGCTGCCTTATACGTGATGTCACAGGAATAGATACAGGAAAGAATTGGTATCTGAAAATTAAAAAATGTAATCAAGTTTAGTAAGTGACCTACACAAAATTGAATCTTTTAATTGACTGAAGTTTGACTGATTGGTATTTTGTTCAAAAATATGGAAAGCGATTTTTAAAAAGGAAAAGGAAATTTGAAGAAAATGTAATGGGTTTTTCGGGTTTTTAGGTCGTCGTTCGATAGAATGTCTTCTTGACGTTTCGCAAGCACGAGTGGCTTGCCTCTTCAGAAGTGGTTCGCTTAAATGCTTGCACTGTTCTGATGATCAGAACCGTCAGAACAGTGTGTGAACACAGTGAACAACAAGAAGAAATTCTACCGAACGACCGCCTAAAAACCCGAAAAACCCATTAGTTTCATGGAATAGCCTCGAAAGTATGTCTCTTTTGATATTGTAAGTTGTTGAAAATAATCAAACGTAGCAACACATAGTTAAGCGAGCTTACCAATATTATTAGATATAAATAGACGATATCCGCAGAAAACAAATTGTAAGTAAATATGAAGAACTCAAGTCCAATAGAAAATGCATACGCCATCATCAGAAATAAATGTGCACCGTAAAGTTTTTCAAACAAACATGCTACATCATTTATTTTTAAGGCAGTCACTTCCACGTCATAAATATCTGCCAAAATTCTTCTCCTGCTCTGGGTTGCTCCTAACACATTAATCTTTGCGCTTAAGTAGTTGTATCTTATTCTTAAATCGTTAAGAATAGCACACATTATAAATTTGACGAAATTATAATAAAATAATGTGGCTTCATCGCCTAATAAACACACGATTATATTCAGTTTTTGCTCGAAGTCCATGTCTTGTTCTCTGATCCACAATATATAACCTTGTGTGGGTACAGTAACTGTAATAATCATATATACTGCTAAATAAAACTTAATGTTTCTGTAAATATGATAGTTCTTTGTCAGATTTGTCCAACTCGGGTTCTGAAGTAACATAACATATTTCTCATAGAATTTGATCCATATAGTTCTTCTCACAATAGTTCCCAGTAATGGTTCTAGAGTAATAATTATTGATATGAGTATGGACAATCTTATAACATTAACCAAATGAAGACCACCCCAAAGTTCACAACCCCATAAATCTCCAAGACCCAAAATTGTGACAAATAGGGTGGTACTAAAAATTTTAAGCCTGAAAAGTGTTCCATATCGAACAGTACCTTTTTCCAGGCCAATGGGTGGACAAACTCCTATTATTGCACCCACTTTGCAAAGCTCAAGCAATGGTTCTTTAATGCTGTCATCACAGAACACGGTGCTTGTTTTAAGCATTATTTACTTATTTCTTCTGATTAGGATTGATTTAACTTATATTTTTATTTTTAAATTATGCCAAGCAAATCCATCCACTATTTAAAATATTACATTCAGAATGCTGTTACTTTGCCGTAAAATATGGTTAATGTCCTTCTAAGTACATTACTAAGTTCTCTGCTGAAAACCTTGAGCAATTAAAGGTAGAAAGTTTGGACGAAACACCAAATTTCATTGTACTGTTCATTCGAATAATAGTTAGCACTCACTAAGATTGGGGATTAATATTTAATAAAAGATGGCTCATATGAATGAGAAACGTTTAATTATGGCCGTCTAACTAGTAATACTGCATTTATAAAAATACAGGATGTCCCCTGGGTGAAGAGTGTTTCGGGGTGTTCTGTGGGTGGCCCGTAAACAGGTACATTTTTAGGCTCAAAAAAAGGCGATGCGACATAACATAAAAAAAATGTCTAGTTCACCTGCTATTGAAGATACAGCATTAAGAGAACGAATACATTTTCTGTTTAATAAGATCAACCTGTAAAAGTAAATAGAACCATAGTGGAATAGAACCCTTTCAGATGCTTTGTTCAATTGGGGCAAGCATATGGAAACGTGGGATCACTGCTCATTGAGCTTGTAAAAGACAAGCAAGGCATGAACACTGGAAATAGTACATAGGTGAGAGCAGACGACGTGCTTTCACTAAGATACCCATATCGATAAGGATAAGGCATGGCGAAATCCTCGGTCCAATTCGTTTTAAAGCCATCGTGGACGAAAACATTATAGTGATAAGAACCACAGCTATATGATCAAGAATGTGAAAACAAGAATTATTTAAGATTTTTTCGAACATTTTAAATTAAGGGAAATATCCAAACCGCCTTTAGCCTTGGATTAGCCTTAGCCGCTGGATATAGGCCTCAAAATTTTTAGTTTTCCTGACTTCAACTCTATTCCTGATTTCAACTCTATGTTTAGAGTAGATTGATTTGTTTTGGCATCGCTGGATGGAGAATTGAAAATTTGATTCAGTCATAACATGAGTGAGGAAATTCGAGTAGTTTTAACCCAGAACGCGAAGTTTGAATATCATACATGTATGATATCCGCTGCTCAATGCATTGAGCAGCGGATCCAGTTTTCGAGTCATAACTTCAGTCGTGTCTTTTGTTGTCTATGAAATTAGAAAAAATATCGTTAGTCGACATAAACCCAGCACAAGGGGGGATCACCCTCCATGACCTCCCTAAATCTGCCCTTGATTAGTTGTCTCCATATTGAGTTTCTTTTTGTGTTTTGGCCCTATTAAATAAAAGATTGTCTGGTAGTTGCATGCCATTTTACTTTTCTATTACAGCCATTTGTGAGTACTTTATCAATAATTGTTTACAGTTTTATTTCATGATAGTGTATGTATGTCCGGTAGAAGTTGTTATTTTAGTTAGTGCTTATTTTTATAGTAGAGAAGAGCAATAAAACTTTCGGTATCTTCAAAGCCGTTTACGGTCTTCGATGTAAGTACTGATCTATAGATATGTTACTCTTACAATAACTCTCATCAGTTAGGCTTGGCCAAAAAATAACACTCCAAAACATGTAGTTGTTTTTCCCCGGTGTATTTTACATTAAAAACTAGTCCCGTAAAATAAATTGGGGAAATAAAGTAGGTACAGGTTCGGGACTGTTATTTTGGACCTAAACCCAGCTGATGGAAAAGGTTAGGCTTGAAACCGGTCCTTGGGTGTGCTATAAGAAACTTAATTAAAAATAATGTTAAAATCTTCTCACTGTCTGGGAATGTATGCTTGTTGAATTACAAGAAAATATGACCCTATGGAATACAGTAAAGCGACAGCGAGTTTTCTATCGACTGTTAAAAATCTCGCTGCTGTAAAATCGCTGTGTAACACTCGAATTTTATATGAAACATCTTTAAGTTTTTCACGGACTTCAATATCTTCGTTAAATGTGGTCGACGCAGAAAGTAGAGCTACGGATAAGTTGCAAACTGCTTTATAGGCGATGTCACAGAAGTAGATGCAAAGGAAAATCGGCATCTGAAACAGTAAACTATAATTATTTTATAATAAAAGTATAATTTGAAATTGAAAAAAATTAATTATCCTACAAAAAAGTATTTCGGCTTCAGGGTCATCATCAACTGAAGGAAGGGTACTATAACAGTTATGAGAGCAAAACATTTCGAACCAATTTTCTACTAGATTTGTGAAGTTATTCGAAAACAATGAAAATATCGACATTGAAACGAACAAAATTGAAATTGTGATACAGTGGAAAAGTTTCGGACAATTTCCATCTATCCAATATATTCCATATAATTTTACCCAATAAGTATTTATTAGCTTTTTCTTTCGTGATATTCATGTAATATAGAGTAAAGAAAAATCTGTAAAATATTGACAAATATGAGTAATAAGCAGAGATCAACTTCTTCAAATTCGTCAAATTTAAGTTTAGTGTGTCAAATTCTTCGTAAGGAACAAAATTATAATAGCCAACACCTACTTGAAAGAGCGCCTCAGAAAAATGCATATTTGCAAACTGTAAATTATCAGCAGATATATAATAAGAGGTTCGAAATCGGTTTTAATAATTCTGCGAATTATTGAAAGATAAACGATGGCGTGACAAAAGAAAGAATTATTTCTATTGTTTTAATCAATGGACCTCGCGCAACTAAAAGCTAAAAAAAATACGCATAAGCAGATGGCAATCCTCCTAAATGGAAATAATAAATGCTTTTTGACGACGATAGACCTGAAGTTTAGTCACACATAAATAATTCTATAAACGATAAATGTTCTAACAAAACTGAAGAACAAACTATTCATGCAATAATAAAAGAACAATACCGTCGTAGTAGCAAATAACACCAAAGGCTGCAAACTATTGTAGAGCCCGCTTTAGTTTACCAAGTAAAGATAACTAACTGCTAAACAACATCAGAGCAAAAATACAGTTTCTAAGTCACGTAACAAGGGGAGAAAGGCGCGAACTATCTCGATTCATAATAGAAGCAACTGGAGAACATATCAACCGGTAGACGGCGGAGTCTGAGGAGGGAGTTGAGAAGAAGGTTTGGCTTTGCGCGGTGCAGCTTTCCAAAATTGCTTGGATCAACCAACCTCTGGACTTTGATCGCCAAGCTCCGGGAGAATAAGAACAGCAGTCGTCAATTTATAGCCGAGTACAAGAAGCTTCTGATTTATTCCAGTTTCTTGCTATTTTAAAATTTGTTCACGGGTAATAAAATATTTGGATATTTTTATCATAAAATAATCCATATTTTGCTAATATGATAATTAAAAATACTTACGATAATAATAAGATATACATTGGTAGTTTCAAGTTCAAACATGCTATAATTGAAAACGCAGTACTCGATTCCAAAACTAAATCCAAACACCATCATCAGGAAAAAATGTGTTTCAAAAAGTTGCTTAAACAGATGTACCACATCGTACATTTGCAAAGTCTGTAATTCGATAGTTTCGACATTTTTCAAAATGTGGATTTTACTATACTTCGGAGTTAACTTAGTAACTTTCCAACTGAGCCAGTTGTATCGGTTTTTAATATCATATAGCAAACTAACAATTAGAAACTTTTCGGCGTTGTAAAAGAACATTGTTGTTGAATCTCCCAGCAGAAAATTTAAAAAGACGCGCCTTTCATATGGACCGTTGGACTCATACTGATTAATGAACCACAGTACGTATCCCAGCGAAATAATTGTGGCATTAACTGTAAGGTAAATCGCATAATATTTTTTAATATTTCTATAATAGTGATCTGTTATTCTTGATCTCTTATAGCAGCTAGTTTTATGTACCACTGAATATTTCCTGAAAAATTTCAACCAAATCTCTTTTCTTGTTAGAGGGCTTAAAATGGTCTCGCAGGTCATAATAATTGTCGAAGTTATGGAAAAAACAATTATACTGCTCAGATAGTACTGACCTCCCCATACACCAGTATGAATAATATTTATAACATTTACTATAATGATCCATAATGCAATAATACAACTTTTCAATTTGAAAAGCTTTGTTTCAATCAGCGTTTCGCTTTTGAAATCGAACTGAGGGCAAATTCCTAAAATACTCCCAAATTGTCCTAACGACTCAAATACAGGCGCTGGTTTTTGCC